TCCAATCTTCGCCAAATCATAAAAGCTTATCATGTATAGATGTTTGAGAAAAGTTCCTGAACCATGAATTGTTAGTCATAGGTCATCCGAGTCTCAGCTAAAGTTGGAGCCCAAAGTCTATTTAAGTCTCAGAAATCTTTCTGAAGTTAAGTCTTCTTTAGTCTTAATTAAAGAGTTTTTAGAATAATAGGTAACACATCGACTTTATTTCAATCTGTAAATTTTAGCATAAATCAAAATTTCATCTTATTTTATTACAGCTTGATGACAATATCAAGTGATTTACAAAGGTTAGGGATTCACAAATTGAATAAATCCACTGATAATCAATCTGATGACAGTGATGATGAATCCAAAGGTGAATAAATTTTTTTGAATTATTTAAATTGTGTTTAAGTTAAATCATATGTACCGGTAGGTACTTCTTATAAGACAATATTATTTTAGTTTAAAAATGCTATTACGGTAATTAATTTTATGCAGATGTTCAATAATAGTAAATATTAGTAAAATTTACAGGGTGACCTCAAAAAAAAAAAAACCCAGGTCATTTGGAACATATTTTAGAGAGAACATAATTTTTTGTGCAAAGTGTCCTGGTCTACTAAACTTTTAGGTATAATCATACACAAACAGGAGTTCAAGTGTTTAATAAATTTTCTCCATTTCCCCTAAAAAGAATTTAGAAATCGATGAGTTCATTTTTTTCTGACCTAATATTGAGATAGTTTGCATCTGGGCTGTGTAGTGCAGACACGGGTATGTGATTATTTGTATTGAAGTCTGAGTCATATTTTAAAATTCCTCGGAGTTGTAAGTTTAGGACCAAAATAAAAAATACCATACTCTGATGACGGTACAAAATTTGGTTTTCTCATGTGTTTGAACAGTCAGAAGGCAAATATCCTTCATCCAAGTGTTGGGAGCCCTAGTCAGAGTCGTGTTATGTTATATTATATGTTAAAAACCATTAGTTGAAGCCTGGAGTTGTTTTTTTGAACAGCTTAGGGTTTGATTTTTATATAAATTTCGTGCAATTGAGACGATTGTTGGACTAAAACTTGACAATAATTTTATGATAATTGTCATGAGAACATCTAATCCAATCAATTTTCATCTTGACATTCTATATATTGTCTCAATCCTGTTTGGATATGCACTGATTTGAAAAGTCGGATCTGCAGGAAATTTTTAGAATATACTGCCTACAGTAAAATGTGTATCTAAAGTTAAATAATTTTCCTGTTCCTAGCTTCCTTTGTTCGAATGTTGGCTAAAAGTGACTTTACTCAACTAAAGGAAGAGTTAGGGAAACGTGCTGATTTTTCAAGAACTGCATTTGGAAAAGTGATTGATGCAATTGAGGAGGAGGAGAAACGAAGAGAAGCTATATTGAAGTAAGTCATACTTTAAAGTGAGAGATAAGTCTATATTGTTCAGTTTATCTACCACACATGTAGATTGACATAAGATTTATTGTTGTGGGCAGTTATTTGTGCCCAGCCTTGCCACAGCCTTGCTAGTGACTTAAGTTCTGCTTCTCAGTATTCTATCCTGACTATTTTTAACAAATGTAAAATAACCTTTTATCTAAAATTATTTAAGAATATTACTAAAAATTCAAAGTACTCTATAATTTCTTTCAAATATGAAATTTAGAAATCTATGTTTTCATTACAACAAATTTTCATTTATAAATCAATACCTATCGAATTGTTTTCTTCATTTTTCCACAGTGCAATTACCGCAAATTGATCATGTTGATGACCGAGTTCAAGGAAGAGATGAATACATTGGAGTGCTGAAAATTCTAGATATCAAGAACTACTGAAGCAATTACATGTGAGTTTAAATTTTATTCAAACTGCTATAACAAGGCTTGCATACAAGCAGTATAGACATAAGGATTTAGTTTGAATGATGACTAGTTCTGAAGCTGGCACGATACATAGTCAGATTGGCATAAACATGACATAGTCAAGTTTTAGCATTTTTCACATGACATTTGAAGTCTAAGCCGTATTCAGATTTTTGAATATTTCAAAGTCTGGGATAAGAAATTAATTTTTTATTAGTGATATCGGTTATGAAAATTTCTGACATAAATCAAAGAGCATCAATCTTTTTTTATCAAAATTCCGATTAACTCAAGAGTTTGGAACTGAAGTCTGAGTTAAGACTCTGGAGTTAATATCCATTTGGATAGTACCTACCTAAAAGGATAATAAACTTATAATAATGAACACAATAAATATTAGTGCAATATTCATTTTCACTGGTATGCATACTTTGAAGCAAACTGTTGTTATAAGTCGTTCCATATTAATCCTATGCAATTATACACTTTAATTCCCAAACATTGAAAGAAGCAAATTATGATATCTATAACGTTTTGCGTAATATAATAGTAATATATATTATGTTGAGAATGCTTAATCATACATTTCAGTTGGGATTTCGATCATTAACTATATTAACGTTAAATGAATCAAATTTCAATGAATTCAAAATTTCGAACTAAAATCATCAAAAATTTGGACATCGTTAAATGAGATTGCAACTCCAGCTTTGACTCCCAATATCAATAAAAACAGGCCAAATTCTGACCACACTGCCCTTACTGCAGTGCAGGTGTGTTTCATATTAGGAAACTTTCCTCTTTGAATCATAGGCGAAGCATCATAAAATATCCATGGATAATAAAGAAGTTGAACAAAAGATGGAATCAATGGAAGATGAAATAGAAGAATTGAAAGAAACGAATGAAAATTTACAATGGGAATTGCAGAAAGCTAAGAAAAGAGAGGACAAGTAATTATTTGCCTTTGCCCACCATTACTTTTATATACAGAAATTTTACCTAACAAGTTCATTGAGATTTTGTTTTGAAGCTACTTTCATTTCTTACACAACAATATAAAATTGGGCTTTCAACGGTATTTATTGGTCACAATTTTTTTCACAAAGCTAAGGAAAGAAAGGACAAGTGATAAATTAATCTTATTCTAATTCCCAATCACTAAAAAATGGTCTAGGGTAGAGCTACTCAACTATTTTTACAGAAGATCCGCATACAAAATTTCAAAATTATTTGGGGTCGGCCTTTCCGGAGATTATATTTCGGCATCCTTAAACACGAACTTCCTCGGCTGGCTAATGAACATTAGCAATTCAAGATTGTTCATTACGGTGTTATAGTTCTTTTCATATATATTCAAAACTATAAGAGTCATTTCATAAAAGGAAACTTATAAAGTAGGGCTAATGATTCAAAATAAAGAATTAGATGCGGTCCGAACCCAATACCCAAAAGGTCTGGATTTGGACCGTGGTCCGCCAGTTGAGTAGCCCTGGTCTATGGAAAACCATGCACTGTTGGGTTCAAAATATTATGTAGTAGGTAAATATTCTCTAGGAAATTTTTCATCTGTATATAGATATGATAGCTTATGGTGATGTGTTCATTCTCCGAAATAATTTACGGATTGGTTTAAATTTCTTGGCGAGCTTAAAAGCATTTTACTAAACTATGATATTGTCACAAATTAAATTCTGGGGTTCAAATCCCACACCCACTACCTTGCCTAGGGTTCAATGAATCGAGTAGGCTATGCTGAATCGAAAATATTTCGGTCTTTCCAAACTATAGGCGCCTCTTTATCTACTAGTGGCTGTTGTACAGAGCCTTGTTCAGAGCGAAATAAAATATGACATAAAGTTTCTCGTGGCCGTTCTGCTATATTCTTTTAGCTTCCCTATTTATTGATTGTGGATTGGATTATTGGAATATCCAAATTTTCAAATGAATTTCAGCCTAGATTCCCAGATGCCTTGCTAGTCATAATCGAGTTGCTTGTGTTCAGATTAAACAAACATCTAGCTGAAGCATTTGAGAAAATCAGTAAAGGTAATGGTAGCATCCAAGGAGTATCACCCATGGCATCAGGAAGTCTTCCATTACAAAAGGTATTGTTTATTATCTACAGACTGTTTTGATTTGCACAGGGGTGTGGTGTCGAACTCTGAACTCTACATTAGATCCAAACTCAAAGAAAATGAATCTTGATAACAAAAACTGTGACTGCATCTTCGAGAATTCAAAATTTCAACTGTAAAGTATGTCTTCAATACCAATATAAAGATACCAATCTCTGAATGCAGATTTTTACTGTGCAGCTCTGAGTTTGTGATATATTTATTGTTAATAATAATAGAATCATGTTGTATAAAGATATGTCGATGAATCCTAAAAAAACAACAAAATTTTGGGTGAAACATTTTGCCCTATAGGACTCTTACTTACCGTACATACTAATTTTTTTTTCTACTTCTATTGTTTTTGAACAGACAAATGAAACCAATCTTTCAGTTGATGAAAATCAAATACTTGCTGACACTCGACTCAAAGAATTGGAAGAAATAAAATCGAAACATGCTGAAGCTTTGAAGCAAGTGGAACAGTTAAACTTGAATGTAAAATTATTATTTTGTTATGTTGTATCCAAGTATTTTGACATCACCAGACAGCATCTAGGGTCAAGCACTCAACAAAGGGTGTAATAAGGCAGCCGAGCTGATGAGGGCATATTTTAATTTTGATGAGAGTATGACCCTAGCCAAAACATCTTTAAGTTTGCTTTTATATATTATAGTATAATAGTATATCTAATTTTAAAAATAATTTCGCACTCATGCACTGAATTTGAATAAAAAAAAAACATTTTGCTGCAAGGTTTGTTGCATGCAAGCCTTTTTAGTCAACTCAATGCTATTTGAGTTTCTGTCAGAAATTTGGACATCGATTATTACCATTAAAATTGAAATATGTCTGCAAATTCAAAAATGACACAATTTTAACGCCCGACTCTAAAAAATTTGAAACTATGACTGTATCTCTCCTCCAATTCTGATAAAAGCATGCTAAACTGGGACTCCATTGTGATCTGTCTTCCTGAAGCAAGAATTGTTGCATCTTCCGAATATCAAACATTGAAAGCACAATTTTCACTTCTATATCATGAATGTGCTCAAGTCAAACAGCAAGCAGATGAAAGCCGACTCTTCTACAGCAAACCAGGAATACTCACTTGAGACAAATCGAACAAATGGAGGTAGTTTTATTGTTAATGATTTATTTTCACTTTGGGGTTAGATAATATAGGATGAATGCTGTTAGGCAAAATGTTTTTAGAAGTATCTTCTTGCATATCAGTGGCTGCTTATGTTGAGCCATGTTCAGAGTGAAAAGGGTGGCAGGATTTTCAATAATGTTGAGTCCAAAATTGGAAATGGCTTCTGAAACAGTAATTGAAAGCGAGTAATTGAAAAAGCGAATAATGATTTTTTCGGTGTGCAAAATATTCAAATCCATGGCAGATATGAGCATTTTCAAATGTTCTTGCTATATTAATTTAATTGTGTACAACGTTAACTCATCGTTGTGTGTTGACTCTCATGACAAAATTAAAGCATATCTACTCTAAAACCATGGCATCTGCGGACATTAAGAGTGCGGATAAACTAGATTAATCTGAGAATCCCAAAATCTGTGATAATCTTCGGGAGTACAATTTATTTTAGTTCAATATACAATTGATTCAACATACTGAACTTTGATTAAATTCTATATTATCATAATCTACGGCGACGAGCAAATAATCATCCCTTGTCGGATTTGAACCCTATGTGGGGTATCAGAGGTGCCATAGCAAACATATTCCTGACACTTAGTACAATGTGGCTGCGCATAGAGATGTTTTAGTTTATTATAATATTGCTTTAGTAATACTAATTTTTGTTTTCCAGGTTGACGGAACTTCAAACTCAAAAAAATTTACGGAATGAACTCATTCAACTGGAAGACACCTTGGCAAAAGTATGTATAATAATGAGCATAGCAGTTTGAAATTACCCAATTAGTTGGATTTACTTTTATTGTGCAGTAAGACTCTTGAATCAAATAGAAAAACATATTTTTCTGGCTTACAGGTTCGCCATGATTATGAAATGTTGCACATGGAATTTGAACAAAATCTAGCAGCCAATGAGCAGGCAGGACCAATCAACGTGAAATGCGTCATCTAATTAATAGCCTGCAAAATCATAACAGGCAATTGAAAGGTGAAATACAAAGATATAAAAGAAAGTGAAGGATCTTCAAACTGAAGTGGAGAAGGTAATTTCATTTTATTATTTTTGCTTTTCTCAAGATATTTGAGATAAAAAGTAAAATAAAATGACTCAATTTAAATAATATCAATTATATTGTGGATAGTATTATAAGTAAAAAACTCGTAACACAAAATTGCATTTATAGTGATACTATGGTAGCCGAAATAATGTGTTCAACTACTGGTCTGTTCGAGTACCAAACTTCTTCAAAGTTCTGTCGGCATATTCGTAAGTACAGCAGGGAATTTTAGTTTTATAAAATGTCACTGAGCAATATTGCAGATTCATTTCTCCTCATCATTAATGATGGGCAAATATTTTAGTTCATAAAAAAATGATTAGTATGAATAATTTTTTTCTCCAATATTTCAGATGAAAGAGGATGCAATCAAAAAAGAAATAGAGTCCAGGGAATTGAAAATTAAAACGGAATCTAGTGATCCAACTGCTTTGTCACAGACAGGTACACTTTTAATATGCCGCAGCCTTTGATGAGCCAAGATAAACCTTTTACTCAACAAAATATATAAATATTTGTATTTCTCGTATACTATTCAATCATAACTTAAATTAAGATTTAATAATAAAAAATGAATTCATCATTTTATTTCATTACCTTTCAACCAAGTACGAAATAATGATAAAGGGAACTTCTTTCCCCAAATTCTATCTTCAAAAGAATAAACAGTCTGACCTTCAGAAAGAAGCGCTAATACCTAGAATTAGCATGGGGCCCATAATGGCCGGCACAGAGATCGTAGATTAGCCCTGGTGTCACATTGAGGTTCCATAGTCATGTACATACAAATAAACAGATAGATATAGATTTTATACAACTTTTTCTCGTAAATGCGTGTATCTGAAATGTTCACAATCTTGAAATATATTTTTTTCTATCTATTTCACCACAGTAAAAACAGAACCACAAGATCCTTCTGTCAAAACAGAAGAAAGTATGTCTCATGAAATTGAGAAGAAAACTAAGGAAATCACTGAAATGAAATCGGAAATTGAGTAAGGTTTTCTGATTGTATACTGGTTTGATGTCTGAGTCTGAAATACAAAAATGTTTCGAACAGAGCTGTGGTATCTTTTAAATTTTACATTCCACTTCAAATTCAGAACCATCTGAAAATTTGTTCCCAATTGAAAATTTACCTTTGACTTCAGATTGAAAAAAGTTGAATCCAGCTCCCATCTTCGAGAGAACTAAATTTTGACCGCCAACATTTCTGTACATGCAATCATCAGTTGTTTGTTATAAATGCTCACCCCACCTTAGACTTTTCTCATCTTTCATCAAAATTTTCCACTTCGCTTACCGCCATTGCAGGTCTGAAATTCTGATTCCTGACCAGTATGAAAACTCTGTCCCCAGCTCTATTATTATAATAGTTCTGACTTCTGGTTTTATATTTTTATTGCCATTATTACAGATCATTGAATGAAAAAATTACCAGTCAAAATGCTCTGATTGAAACTTATCAAGATACTCAAGGACAAATAACAGCTGAAGTGAGTGCGCAAGACTAGATTATTAGTTTTTGCACTTAATTATCTCTCTCTTGAACGGGATGGTCATTGCTGACCAGCCGCGGCACTCTTCAAATATTGACGCCATTGGTCCCAGTTGTACGACATTTTGAACAACTGAGGCTTGATTATAATATGAAGCAAATTTTAGGCGTAAATTCTACAATTATCTTGGATTGTTTTCCCTGTTTTCATTCTGATTCAGCTTCCATCACAAGGATACTTGAAGTACCGTAGTACTGTCTGAAGTACAAAGATATGAATGTATTTTTCAATGAATGGGAATAAGAATATTAATATCCTATGTGACAAATGCAGAAGAACTAAACAAATTTTGCCAATTGAAATAATTTAAATTTCTAGACCAAATTTCATATAATTAAGTAGTCTAAATAAGCAGATTGGAACCTGCTTACTTACGAACCAACAAATTTAGTCAACTCGAATTGTATTCAAGGAAAATTTTGAAATTAGACGCTTATCGGACCAGTGAACAGACTAAACTGTCTCTTTTTTGTATCTATTCTAGCAAGCTGATTTTCATATGAAGGAAAAGAAACTTCTTGCTGAAATTCAACAACTAAAAGATAAAGTCGAATTATTGGAAGATGAAAGAGATAAGATAATGAAGGAAGCAATTTCGAGAGAGAATGAACTTCTTTCTGCTGTCGCTGCTGCTGAAAAAGGAAAGGGAGATGGTGGACGTGGAAGTTATCTGAGCAATGAAAGCCGCAGAAAAATGAAGGTTCGTCTTAGAAGTAATTTTGATGCCTGGTGTTTGCTTGTGATGGATATTTCTAAAACATCTTTTGCTTACATTTATATGACATTTTCTTTGCTTATTCTACAAACGGCACTATCATTCACTAATATGTGGGGAAATTTTTTTATTCTGGGAAGGTCATTTGGAATTTAGTGTTTAAAAAATTTTGTCATTCAGTTAATTTGGGAGCAAACTCTGGATGTCTAATGCAGGGGTGTGCAGCCCGCTGGCCAAATGCGGCAAATAAGAAAAAATTGTGAGGCCCGCGGAGAAGTGCCAATTTTGAATGGTGTCCGCAAAACGAGTTTTTAATTCATTTTAATCTAGTATGTGCGAGTAATTTTAAGTTGCGAAGCCTATGCCTGAGCTTGTTCAAAGCGAACAACGCATGTCAAAAGATCAATAACCTGTTGTTCCCTGCAACTACTAGGAACCCTAATTAAATAAAGTTGCGACTCGCGGTTTCACCCAGTTATTTGTATTTGGCCCTCCTATATTGAAGGTTGCACACCCCTGGTTTAATGTGTACTGACTACCGACACGGAAACATTCTCTTCATTTAAAATATTAGTAGCTTATGCAAATATCTCATGGAAATACTTTCCAAATGAAAATCATTCTAATTAGGTTCTTGAAGAGACAATAGCAGAATTACGTAAGAATGTGGCATCTACTAAACAAGAGGAAGAAGCATTGTTATCAGAGATGGATGTAACTGGGCAGGCATTTGAAGATATGCAAGAACAAAATATTAGATTGTTGCAACAACTGCGTGAAAAAGATGACGCTAACTTCAAACTAATGTCCGAGGTAATATTGCGTTTCAAAATTGTTTCCTGTATCAGATTGTTGCTATGCAATATAATTCAAATATATTAAAACTTTTACACACTCGGACAATTTTGAGAAAACACAAAAGTGTCTTTCAAATTGTTGTGTTTGTCCATGCGGCAGCTTCAGACGCCACAAAATACTTAAAACTGCACTTGACACAATTGGACAATTTTAGGAACGTCCAAAATGTCTTTCAACCTGTCAAATTGTTTATGTTCATATCATTCATTTTTTAGTTCTGTAATGATGCGGTAGCAATGAAGCTGATACAAAAATTTAGATCCTATAGAAGAGTGGTTCCCAACCGGGGCCAAGGAGGCCACAATACTATGCTCCAAATGGATTTTGATGCGATTTCGTTTTACTTCTTTTCCCTTCAAAATAAATTACCCTGTTCTCCCAAGTTTCATTATCTGAAAATGTTTTCTTCAGTCTCATGGTGTTCTCATTTTCTCTCCAAATTTTTCTGTTGTTTCAAATAATCCACAGGTATCTGTTACGCGCCACATATGGAATTGGTCCAATTCTTTTAATATTTTGCTAATATTTTGTCCTTTATTTGAACATTGTTCTGTTGTTATAACAGAGAATAAAAGCGAATCAGATTCAAAAGTTACTTCAAGAAGAAAAAGGTGTTTTACAAGACCAATCATTGACTCTTCATACACAGGTAATACTTCAAGTGCCTAATAAAACTTATGGTTCTTAGTTGATATCTTTGAGGTAGTCAGTCTCAAGAAAATTGAAAAAATAGTGTATTAGAAGATGTTTTGAATCTGCTCATCGATAATTCTCAATAAATTATAAAGCATTTGCATATTTCCTTTAATTGGCTCTCACTAAAAAGTTGTTTGATCATGCAACTGGAATTATGGTGTCTAGCTGTTCCAAGATAAACATTCATATCACACGAAAAAAGCGGTTTTTCGTCTTGTCTCACCTCTCATTTGTTGCGAAATGGTAATTTCAGTGTACTTTGGGGTTGGCGCCATGAAAGGTGACATAAAAATTGGTATCAATAGATTCATTATAAGTTTTAATAAACAATATTAAAATTTATATAATTTTAATATTGATTAAATTTTCATTGCATATTTGTAAGAAGATTCTGACATGGGCAATCTGTCTAGAAAAATACATATCACGATTTTTTTCATTATTTTAACTTATTTATTTTGTCATAACATGGTCAACAACATAGCTCAATATTATTCATTACAATTTGGTTTTATTTCAGGATTTTATGTTTTTATGTTTGATTTTTTTCAAAGGTTGAGGCACAAAACCAGGTAGTTCGCAGATTAGAAGAAAAAGAGAGAGCAATGCAAACAACAATTATGCAAATGGAAAAAGAAATGTCTTTAAGATCACAAGCTTTGGAATTACATAAACGAAAGGTAGGAAGTAAATTGTGTGGCTGAAGTTTTATTAAGTAAAATTATATACAGGCTATTCATGAAGCCTTAAAAATGTTTTAAACCAAATCTTAAAGGGAATTTATTGATATCATTTATAGTTTGTTGGCCCATACATGTGTTATATGAAGTAATAAATCTAAACACTGATTAAAATATAATAAACCTGTTTAAGATATATTGATAACTGACTTCATAAGAAGATTGAAATTGTGAAGTGACTAAACACCCAATATATTTTAAATTAGGATGGGACGCAGTTGTTTTTTAGTTCAACTTTGCGGGCCACGATTAAAATTTATGCTCACTGATGAATGATGATATTGAGTATATAGTGGCAAAATGAATCGTAATGTCCTGCTAAGGACAAGAGCGATGTATCCAACTTTTATTTTGTTAATGTGTGCGTCGAGTTCCGTGATACATAGGCATCCAGAGGTCAAATAAGTGCGAAAGGGTTGCTGAACTTCTCATCATTGTAGAGTAACTGCTGGTCAATTACGACCTCTACATCAGGGCTACTCAACTGGCAAACCGCGGTCCGAATCCGGACCTTTAGAGTGTTTGATTCGGACCACACCTAATTCTTTATTTTGGATCATCAGCCCCACTTTTAAAGTTTTTCTTCTATAAAATCACTTTTATAGTTTTAAATATATATGAAAAGAACTATAGCGTCATAATAAACATTTTTGATTAGCCAATAATCATAAGCCGGTCGAGGAAGTGCGCGTTTAAGGATGCCGAAATATAATTTCTGGGAAGACAGGACCCTAATATTTTGGAAGTTTTATATGCGGATCTTTGGTAAAAATAGTTGAGTAGCCCTGTCCTACACCGTCAAGGCCATGCGTCTGAAACCTTTAACCGATTAACTATTCACATAACCAACATGCACATGAGTGATCGTAGTTTGGTATAATCACTGTGCCGTTCTTTTGATTTCCTCTCTGAAGGGCTAGGAATATAATGATTATACAACCTTGGTATTTTAGTAATGTCTATGGTTTTGAAATAAGCACGCTTTGTAATAATGGTTTTTATCTCCAGAAAATTTCTGCACATGCTTGCCTGTATCTCTTCCCTTGCAAATAAAAGCTTTTACCTCTGTTCACTTGCACTCATCAATAAATATAAAAGGCTCTTGCATATGTTGTTTCTCCTTTATCAGGCATTTGAATTGTCACAAATGAAGGAAGATCTTCAACGAGATCTTGGTAAGGCTCGAGAAAGAGCTAGAATTGCTGAAGAATCTGTTGATAGAAAAATTGAAACTATTGAAGAAGAACATTTCAAACTTAGCAGGGCACAGGTGAGTTGCCATTAAGTCATGAGCGTGATTGTGGGGGGAGGTCGTTTATTAAAAACGCTACACTTAGTTTTGTTGGTATCAATCACAAGTTTCAAATCCGGTTTGGCAATGTCAAATCGGAAGATATCGTTCCTTTTAAAATGCAGTAACTCCTTACATATCAGTATGTGCAGAGCCTTGTTCTGAGCAATATATATATATAAATCTGTCATACAAATTGCGGGATGAATGGAACCTAATTCCTACAGAGCTTTGTGAAAGCGCAATAATAATCATCGAACGCATCGCTGCTCGATAGCCAATATTGTTTTTGTTTGCTGTAATTGGTTGTTAATTTCCGGCCTTTGTTTATTAAAAATTGAAGTGAGGATTGAACCCAATTTTTGTGTGATTAACTTCATGGATCATACATGGAATTATTTGACACATTGGCGGAATGTTTTTATTGTTTTTGTACAGGAAGATTCTGCTCATCTGCGTAGAAAATTAGAAAGGCAAAAAAAGAATGATGTCTTCTACAATAGTGATGAAATATTGTTGGAAGAAATAAAGGAATACAAGGTATTATGGCTTTCATTTCAATTCATTTATGGGCAGGTACTCATAGCGTATGTTTTAAATCCAAGTCTTGAATGTGCACGCATGATCCGTGAATAAAACATCTTACGATTCTATTTTAATCCTGATTAATCTTCCTTCCATTGTATTGTGATTAAAAATTAAGTTAAGTCAAAATGTCACTTGTTGTCCGCAATTTTTCAAGTTTCATAACTGTTGAAATCACACTTCATATTCTAAAATCTTTTATATATTTCCTGTACAATATCTCATATTCATCGAGATGCCCATTGCCCAAGTTACCCATTGATTCATATATAAATAATTTGGAAATACTTCAATTTTAGGCTTTTGACTTTAGAGCTTTGGACTTTAAACTCTATATTGGCATTGTGGGTTACAGATCTTGGTTCAAATTCCATGCCCACCACCTCATTCATTGTGCATTAAATTGAAAAGATTCCTTTCATGGAAACTAGCTTTTTACTAGGGCTGGTTATTTCGATCGAATAGTAAATTATTACAATCGGTTCAGACAGGAATTTTGAATAGCCGCCATTTTTTTTATTCATGTCAAATTTTTAAAATGCAATTCTGACATATGGTTTTATTTCTGCGGAGTGAGTTATTGTGATGAAACATCTTACTGTGTGTAAACACTCAGCGAACTGTAGATTGTGTGTTTTCACGAATTTATGTGTCTGAAAAATTCATTATAATAAAACAGTCAATACAAATACATATCTACCAAGTATTCGAGATTTGATTTAAAAAAATATTCGATTCTGAAATCATGAGATATTCAGAAATGCTAAGTCTTACCTGTTACATACCAATGGCTTCTTATACAAAGCCTTGTTCAGAAAGAAAGGTCTAAAAGGCCCAGTATGTGAAGTCTTCAACTGACTATGTTTGTCGTTTTGTACTATTGTTCATTTGCCTATGTCTAAATTTTGGATGAAGGCAAATTAAAAAAAAAAAATTTTTAATTTCAAATCAATACACTTTATTTTCAGACCAAGCTTCGTTGTCCATGCTGTAACGTCAATAACAAAGATGCAGTTTTGACAAAATGTTTCCACGTATTTTGTCTGAATTGTATAAAAACGAGATATGACACAAGACAGAGAAAATGTCCCAAATGTAATGCTGGTTTTGGTGGGAATGATTTCCATAGGATTTACATTGAATGAAACGATGACTGTGCTGACCAGTACTACTTAATTAACCTGTGTGCGAAAAGTGAGAAAACAGGAAGAAAAATCGAAAGGAAGAAGTTTTGACTTTTCTGACTGATATATCTGACTTCAAGTTGCTTACCCACCGATCCTCGGTCGGCCGAAAGCAGAAAAATTATCTGATTTTTTCTCTGGATGAGAAAGCTAGTAGCAAGTCAATTTTTTCGATTCAGTCCCTTTGACTCAACCAGATCAGATGATCCGTTTTTTCTACTTTGCTGTTTTTGGTGCCTAGCATTCCATACCAATAATAGTATGCTGCAAATGTTGTCATGCTAAATTTTTTTCTCTCTTTGAAAATTGCGACTGAGTGCTTCGTTTTTCGTCCTATTTTTTATTGAAGATCGCTGTATTTCTTGTAGGAGTAGAATTAGGGCTGTCGCTGGAGTATCTTGAACACTACATAAATAGGTCTTCTTTCTGCTGATGTCAATTTTTTCTAACGAATCTATGATATTACGTCAATCATACTTCCTATGGCTTAATAAAACTGATGTTCCAGATACACTATCTCATCAATGTCTGATTTTAGGAATCTGAAAGATACAAATCAGAAAAACGCCTTGAGAAAAAATGGGCGAGGAATTTGTATGCATTTTGTGGAAACGGGTAGTTAGTTGGCTGCTATATTGGTTAAAATGTGCTATGGGGTCAACTTTTAAAGAATATGTTCTTCGTTCTAAGATTTAGGAATAGGACAACATGCAACGGAGCTCTCAACTTCTATGTGATATTATGGTTCGGCCTAGTCGCCTAAGCAAGTGGTTCCCAAACTGTGGGTCCAACCCCTGTGAAGATTTTCCGGGGTGGCCTAATGTCTTCCAAACATGCGCACACAGGTGACTAAGATTTGTAATTTGGAAAATCAGATTTGTACTGGTCGGCAGATACCGTAAAAGTGCCTAACTCCGGATTTTTCAGCAATAACTCGACCATCTATTGTCCAAACGGCCCCAAATTTGATCGGTGAAACTTTCATGCTGTACCTTTCCAGCTGGTCGGCAGGTTACGGTATTAGTAAATGTAATTGACTGGCAGTGGTACGAGTGCCAATAATATTTTATAGCTTTTTTGATCATGTTACATCCCAGTGAGTAGTTGACCCGGTGGTACGCGAATCGGATTTTTATTAGGCTGCGAGAAATTATGCTGGTTCAGTGGTTTGCGATTTTGTACCAATGTAGTCGTTACCGAAAATACAATAATTGGACCTTAATCAGGTGTTTGGCAAGTAAAAGTGAATATAGTCACTTTGGTCTTGACCGAGTAGGTAATTATGAACCTTTAGGTTTCGATCCGCTGCGAAAGCGCTTTTTTAATTCGCGCACGTGTCTAAAATTTATGAGTAGGCTAAGTGTTTCGTCCACACCACCTCAACATAAAGGTGAAATTTTTTTCGTATTGCAATATTACGTATTTAGACCTTTCATACAAAATTATGAAGCGTTCCGAGTAGTCAAACACAAAACTACAAGTCCTAGCATAATGATGGCACCTAAAAGATGTGATTCCATAGGCCTACGCTCTTTTCCTACTTTACATTCATGCTCTGTTTTACTTTCGAATTAATAATTGAAAAAAAAATAATATGTTAATATAGAACTAAAAATAACAAAGACGCTGATGGAATATACTGAATGGGATTTCGAAATAATGTATATTATATTTAGAAACAATCTTACTATTTCCGAATATCGTGCGCGTCCTTACAATCTACCACATTTTATCAAATACACCTATATGTTTCGTTAATGAACCGTTATAATTCTAATCTAATAAATTATCACACCGTGGTTTTCATACGATTCCATGTGTTATCAAATCTTCTGAGGTTTCCCCGTTTTTCCGGCGCATTGTCGGACTCATTCATATATTTTTTGGGCTAATGTTCACCGTCAACGTCTACTTGCAGTCGATGAACAGCAGGTACATTGTGATTAAACTTATATATTGATTTTTGAAGTTGCTGATTGTTTCTAGTGGGGTCGCGAGTATCTGTAGGCTTTGATTTTATGAAAATTGGGGTCGTGAAAAAAAAAGTTTGGGAACCACTGACCTATGCCATAGGTTCTCAAAGTGCTCGGGGCTCCATGATATAAACCTGAAGGCTCCGCGAGCTATTCGTTTACCTATATCAAAATACTGACTTGGCTAATTTTGTAACTGTTCAAAGAAGTAATAACGCATTAATAAATTTTGACAACGGCGGTGGCGCCGATATAAGGAAACAAGGCGGTACTTCAAATATGACATCATCTAAAAGTACGAATGGATAATTTTTATTAATTTATTGTGGGAATCCGTAAATATTAGTCAGCCTCTTCACGGGCTCCATACACCAACAGTTTGAGGTGACCGTACATTTGAACCCATGTGTATATCCGCGGGTTCAATCTATATGCGGGTGCTAAAACCCATGGGTTAGGGTTAGTATGGGTTCAAATATCCGTAAAACAAAACAAAAATTCCATAGGTGCAATAGTATGTAGGTGCAATTGTCGTGGGTTCAAATGTAATGGAACCAAAGTTTGAGAACCCCTGACCTAAGCGACGTGTTGTGATTGAAGGCATTGGCGTTGAACAAATACCCAAGGTAATTACCAAGTTGGCACTCATTAACGTGGGCGGAGACCAACCGCATGAGCAAGATATATATCCGAAATAAATTTCAAATATATTTTTCTCGAATATTTATGTATATATATATATAAATATATATGTTTGCAAAGTCCGAGTTTTTTTTTTGTATCAAACGAACTAGTCGTAATTGTAGGTAGCGGTTTGTACGGTGCTGTTAGCAATCGTTCACATTGAACACACGTTTTTTTTCCACAAAGCCCTCTTTGTCATCGACAGTTCAGTTGTACTACCGCCAGATAAAATGAATTGTGACACAGAGGATGAATCTACAAGCCATACCATTCGCCGGTGAATGTTTCAACCGAGTAACAAAACAAAAATGTTTCATACCATGTATTGCTATTTTTATTATTTCTTGAATATACGACATTGCACAATGCGAATCATATTTCTATAGGACATATGAAACGGCTATTGACCCACACGCGTCGATTATCATGTCAAATAGTTGAAACAAAGGAAGGATGTCGGAGGTGGCATAAAGATGCGTGCCCTTTAAGCAAAAAATGAGAGATTAATATGGCTGATATTCTATCAAACTGCATAAATATGATGAATTAAAATGATATTGCGTTAAAGGTATAACATTTATGTTCAATTTTAGTGCTGCGGTGTCATGCAAAAACTTTACAAATTAGCCATTTACTCATATTTTGTTTGCCCCTCGCCTTTTGCCCGTCCTAGCTGCGCATACAAAACAGTAAATTTGTGACCCCTTTGTGGCCTTCTACTAAATTATCTCTTCATAATGTGGTAAATGCCTTTACATTCGGGCTAGGACAAAACAAAACTCATGTTTAGTCGACAGGTGTAACGTTTCTAATTGGAATCATATTACTTTGTGTAAGTTTCCTACAACAATAGACATTCGTCGATTAGCTCGCCCCTGTCCCATCCTGATCTAGGCATCAGAACACATATGGGCGGAAAAACTCTTTCATTTTACATAGATTACACTTAGATCATCCATGGATTCGTAGGAATATAATTTATGTTAATTTCTAACAATTATCCATTTGACCCATTTAAAAATGTTATGCTTTACGAGCACAAAGAGCCAGAGGTGAGCAAGGAATCCTGCAATGATGCGTTAAATGCCAGTAAATGCAATCGTAGGCAGAAAATATATAGACTTCAGTAAGAGATTGAGTTTTCATATGGCGTTTCCAGTATATCATTGTGAGAGTCACAAAACATTTCCGTTCACCAACCACCAAATCAATTAGCCAACGATCAGCGTTCATCGATCGGGCAGCCTGAATGGATTCTACCCAATCTCAGTATAAAATGACTTCACAGAAAAATGAGGAAAACGTGCTCACTTGCTTATAAGCGTGTTAGCAACAAAGTATAGTTCACAACATAGGAAACCGTATTTATAATATATTATATATCTGCTGGTCTACCGTAATGTTCGAAAGATGGCGTTGAAACTTCATTGCAATTACTTGTAAATTTGGATTTTATGTACTATGTCCTGCAAATGTACTCGTAAGTGGGAACAGGCTATTTTACATCCACTTTTAGCTAATGGTAAAATTTTTGATTATGAAACTTGCTATTTAGTTGATGGTATCGCGTATCGTCATCTGAATACACAGTCAAGGCAGAAATGGTATTCTGTGTTTATCTTGTCTGTACAGATGGCAACACTTCACAGTCCACATCTTGCGCGTCTCGACTTCAAGTGCGATGAGTTAATAACACGCAGGGGGTCTATTATAACCACATTACTGTGGAGTTGACCGTTTGCACGAGCGCGAGAGATAAACAAGACTTGGGTGGGGCCGAAAGATTTTATACGCCAACTATAGATTATGGTTGGACGTTCATAGAAATGCAACTATTTTTTAATTTGAATTACGTGAGTTTCGGCCTTGATTATTATTCACGGATTTGTTTTGCCACACCTAGGTGCGCCAAGTTCAGACTTGTGCGACATTTGTCTTTAGAAATATTCATTCGAGTTATGAAATATATTGATTCATTGTTGTTCATTGTGATTGAGATAACGGAACAAATTAACATATATTGTGTTTCTCGAATAAACAAGCCAAATGGAAGATCTACCGATATACATATTTTATTCAGTCGAGAGAATAGAGTTGGGCGCTAAATTCTGTATATCTGATGCACATAGTACTTCATTTCATTTTCATTAGGACGCCTTTGATTACCCTTGGACGAAATATTGTCAGTGGGATTAAATAAGCTAGAATATCGGATAAACAACTTGCTAGTAGCGGCATTTTCCGTCATTTTCGCCAATTATATTATTCCGTGCGTAAATCAATGAATTTAGGTACCACACGCACAGAAAATCACAAGTGTCTTCCCCGATAATTCGGCAGCATAGGCGTCATTAGACTCTCATTTTATTTGCTTTCATCATTGACCCTCTTGCCTTGAAGAATTTGCAAACATAGACCTTTCAATAACAATATCGTCCTCTGGCCAAAAATGATCGAGAGATGAAGAGTATAAGCAAGATATGAATTATCCTTGGCCTGTACTTAACGCGTACATAACTCTTGACAATGTTGGTGTAGTATATTATTACAGTATATGTATTACAAAACATGCCACATCTGAAGTCAATGATTGTCAAATTAGGTTATTGTATCGAAGTAACAATATGCTGGCCTACATGATTTGGAGCATCATCAAGTCTAAAATTCAATATCGAACAGATTGCATGATTAACAAAGACCTGGTAATTAGAAACAGCTAGCAAAGGTATAGAACGATCTAAAACACAATATAAGTAATCAGACATGAAGAGGCGTAGTAATACTGGCTATCGCGAATGAAGTGTATAGAAACGATTAGCCTGGCTTTATTTATGGACATATTGGATGGTCAGCT